GACCATCATAAAAGGAACTCTACCAGCAGAATGTAAAAATCATAGACTTATATAAATCCAGCAGTGTAGTCTTGAAGGTAAGAAAGCAAAGCTGACAGATACACAGAGAAATAATAAGTGACCAGTATAGTTGAATACTTTCTCAGAAACTGATAGATTCAACAGAAAAAGCAGGCAAGAAAATATTTTAATAGCTTAATTAATACATTTGATTAAATGGATATCTATATAGAAAGCCTTTTAGCAAATAGAGAATCTGGGTAGATTTAAAGCATAGCATGAATTCTTTTTTAAAAAAAAAAATTGTGATTTGGGTCCCCAAGGAAATTTTCATCATGGAAGCCATATTCCTTGACTGAAATTAAAAAAAAAAAAAACATCTGTAGTAGCTACTTGAAGAACAGAAAGTGCAGCTTGGCATGATGGCATATGCCTGTAGTCTCAGCTTGCAGGAGGCTGAATCAGGATTGTGAGTTCCAGGCTAGCCTGGGCTACAAAGCAAGACCAAATTGGGTAAAAATTAAAAAAGAAAAGTAGAAAGTGCACAGACACACAAATATACACACGTTGAACATATTGTAAAATTCTTAAACAACAAAATTCTATACAGCAAATTTGAAGTATACAGTTAATAGAGGGAATATTTTCAGGAATGGAAAATGACAATTCTTGAGTGTACTTATTCAAAACAAAGAAGTATGAGAAATACGTGTTTTATATTCAATTTTAACATAACAAATACAAATAACAACAAAAAGTAATGAATGGAAAATGGAATGAACCATACCCAAAGCTTTTAAGATACAAAGATAAACATCTTTGCCAGGTACTATTAAAAATAGAGCAGTACACAAACCATTCCAGCTGCTCACCCCCATAATATACAGCTGACACTCTTTTGGAGGAGTTGGACAAGCAGATAAAGAGGTTTGGCAGTAATTACAGTAGAAAAATGAAATCAGCATTTAAGTTGGGGTCAGGGAGGTCTCTGGTCTCTGAGGAGATAACCTTTGAACTGTGCTTCCTAAACTCAGGAAGCAGGCGAGGAAGAAATCCTTCTTGAAGGTGTTCTGGCAGAGAAGAGAAAAGCAAAACCCAGTTGCATCAATCTAAATGTCTTAAATGATAAAGTAAATTCACCCAAAACCTCCAGCATTAGTCCTGATTGTAAAAAATATGGAAGTAAAACAAGGATTTCTGCTCTCACTGCTACTGTTGTCATTACACTGGACATTGTCGCCAGCCATTAGAAAAGGAGGAAGAGAGATATAATGGAAGAAAATATTGTCATTAATTACAAATTAAATGATTATCTACAAGGGAATCCTCATGCTTTTAGAGTCAGGGGAGTGCAGGATGATTGACAAAGATGAAGGTCAGAGTAGGTAACCAGTACTTTGCCATGCATCAGTGGGTATCAGCTGGCATACATCATAGGGAAAAGCTGCCATGCAAAATGCCATCTACAAGCTGCTGTAACTCTCATAAGTTGAATGATTTTATAGAGAAAGTTGGATGACATTTTAAGAACAGATAAAATATATCCAAATTATCAGTGCACTCCCTTCAGCTCAGTCTGTGACATCAGTATAGTACATTCACCCAGAAAAGTACAAATCCAGCAATTATCAAGACTTTTGAAAATGGATAAAGAGGGTCATATAATCAAATAACTAGACCTAATCAATTCAGAATATGGTACTGTTCAGCGATAGACAAGTAAGCAGTTATGAAACAGAAAAAGCCAGAAACAGACTGAAGCACATATGGAAACTTTGCATAATAAACTAGGGAACAAATGGGTTGCCACCATACCATTCACCAAAACGAGTCCCAGTTAGACTAAGGGTCCACGTTGCAAAAGATCACTTCAAGATAACTTCAGAAGTTTAAGAGTAAAATGTAGCATACTTTATAAACTTAGCTAGGTAGAGTTTCCTAAATGAGGCAGAGAGGATATCACAAGAGAAAAAGTTAATAGACTTGGCTAAAATTAAAAGTTTGCACTTTAATAAGACAAAAAGTATCATTAACAAAGTTAAACATATGTAATGAGGAATTTATATTCAAGGTATGTAGAGATCCACTATAATAAGAAATAGTCAACTCCACTTAAAAATAGGCAAATGGTACCAACTAACAATTTGTGGAGAACAAATTGTGTTCAGCAAGAAGGTTTAAGTATACATAACACTGTTAGGAATTGGGGAAAATAACAATTTTTGTAAAAAGAATCACCATCCATATCCATTAGAATGGTAAGTTTTTGCTGTGTATATATCGTATATGCATGGCCCAAGGTAACAGAAAAGTAGGAACTATGTTATCATTGGATAGAAGTACTTGCAAGAGAAAGCTGGTAATGTTATTACAAAATTGAAAGGATGCAGTCATAAGCCCTGGAAAATCAGCTTCTAGATTAATAATTGAGAAATCCTTGCATGTGTATATCAGGAGACATTTACTGATTATTGTTCGTAGAATAACTGGAAACTACAATAATCGTTTTTCAGTAGATGAATAAACTTGATAATATTCAATGAGGTGCTTTCAACAATTAAAATTAATGAACTTCATCTAAGTTTATCAGCATGGAAGAATCTCAAAAAAGTTGAGTGAGAAAGCAATTATAGAATATGTACAATGTAATAAGTTACATAATCATTTAAAAGCAGCCCAGAACAATATGTTGCTTATAGACGCTGTGTATTTAATACAAGAACTGAAATAATAGCTGTAAAGGTCACATGTCAGATTAATGATGGCTGCTTTTGGGAAGGCAAAGAGTGATGTGAGACTGGCCAGAAGAACAATATATCCTTCCATTGTGTTAGTGTTTAGTATACAGTATTTAACTTAGTGTTCAGCTCAGACATTCCTTCATTTTCCTTTATACTGGCATCCCTTACAATGCATCCTTGTACACGTTTTGTAGGGATTTAACAAATTATGTTAAGTGGGCATAGCATCTTCTTTGGATAATCTTCCAGAGAGCTCAGTTCCTAGCAAGTGAGAATATATTAAGATCTGTGGTTTAAAAGCTATTACATTTTCAATTTCATATTAATTTCTCTGAAAAAAAAATTCCTAAGTGGTCCCAGTCTTCCCAGTTTTCTTCGTATGAGGACTGAAGTGCTTTTTGTCATTTATTCATTCAGTAGGTTTTATTGCGCATGCCAGGTAACAATATAGCAGTGAGCAAATGCAAACTGGCTCTCAAAACTGGCATTTCAGTGCTAGTGAAGGAAGATAATTTAATCAAAATGTCCTGGGACTAGTGGTAAGCACCATGATGAAAACCAAAGCAGGGTAAGAGCGATAGTGATTGCAGGTGTCTTAATGGTGAAGTCGGGTAAATTGTCTGTACCTGAGAAGCTGGAGCAATGTCATGAAGTAAACTGTGTGGAAGAAGAGGTAGACAGACAAAACCAGGGCAAAGGCTTTTCTTCTGCCTAAGAGCTCCGGAATGGAGGTCATGGGTGGATTTGAACAAGGGGGGAGTTGACTAGTCAGACCTGAGACCTGAAGCACAGCAGAGGCCTGGATGGTTCAGGGCTTTGGGCCGTGAGAAAGACTTTGGAGCAGAGGGCAATTGTGGCTTCAACAGAGTCACTCTGGGCACTTGGTCAGATAACCCACAGGACATGGTAGTTGGTGTAGGATAAAAATGGGAGCAGAGAAGCCAGTTAGAAGATCACTGTCACACTGGGGACAAGAAACAAACATAGGTTAGAGCAAGGTGATAAGAGACAGATTCTGGATATATATTACTTTTTAGCAGCAATTCTTAATCTCCGGATCACTCTCTGATCTCGGGGGATACCATGGGAGTTGAGAAGAAAGAAAAATAGCTCACAGCAGTTGCCATGAATGATACACTATGCAAGTGATACCAAAAGGAGATTTTTGAAACCTCTAAACATCTTTTGTCGGATTGTGGGAAGGGAATTTAGTCCTGCTTACCTAGAAGTATCTTTTACTTTTCTTGCTCCTTTTACTCATTCTGAACTTTGCAACTAAATCCCATCATACTTTGGTGTTTTTTAAAAATATGAAACTTGAAATCTGGGTAGAGGTATAGAATTTTGGTGCTGATTGCAGTAACTGAAAAGAGATCTGAATATTGATATTTTACTTTATAACTTACCTGTATGGCTATATATTTACATTTATTTGGCTCTTTTATGAAGATAACTGGGTTTATGACATCGTTTAGAGACTGTATAAACTGTCTCTGAACATTTTGCATTTGTACTTTATTAGGTGTTGTAACAAAATGACAGAATAAAATGATGTACTTTATTCTAGCTTCATTTGTGTTATGTATTAACAATTCACCTTTATTCAATACTTAAGTTAAATAGATGTGTAGTGACTTTATTTGTATTTTTTTCTAAATACATTTTCCACCCTTCCAATTTATTACTGCACCAGTTCATTGTTATTATTAGTTTTATGTCTAGGGATTTCTGTTACTACAAAGAGGTAAAGACTATGTTTGGTGAGGGTGGGGAGAAGAAAAGAATTTGTTCTATATCAAGTGTTTAGAACTACAGATTATATTCCATCATTATGGCTCTTAAATGCTAAGTAATCATTGTTCAGATAGAAGGTACACAATAAAAATCATAATTTATTTTCAAAGCTGTGCCTTATTTCTAAATATAGTTATATATCTGCACTTACACTGTTAAAAACTTAATTATATATTCAAAACATCTATAGTGTAACAACAGTTCATTGTAACAATAAACTCAGAAAATGTTTTGATTATGCTTTAGAATTGAATTTGGCACAGTGAATTTTTGGGGGGAAGGTATCTTGTTTTACTTTGCTTATTGAAAGACACAGTTTTGGAATAGTAGTGCCTAATCTTAATAAGGAGCTTTGCTTATTTTTTTTCCATAATTAAGATGAATAATTATCATATCTGTTTGAGAATATTTCAGATGTTTAGTAAGTTTTTTATTCTTACTAACCAAACTTTCTTTTTCTTTTAGCAAAACTGTACAATCTAAAGTGGACTGCATTTTGGTAAGTGAAATACCTTACTTAAAATTCGTTTGTGTTATTAATAAGGCTTTTACCTCTATATAAAACATACCATTATTAAGTACATATTGCCTCTGAATATAGCCCAACTTTAGTGAATAAAATATGACATTTAAGTACAACCCTGTGGGTGAATTAGTATCAACTGGCTAGATGTTTTCCTGCATCTCATCAATGCTGAAATCATGATCAATTGGCCTTTACTGAAAAATTGCTTAAACAAACATTTAATTAAAGTGGACATTGATTTTTCTATTCTAATAACTGTTTGAATTTGTTTAATGGAAAGTTCTTAACATGTTTGATGGATTCATTTTGTTATGATAGTGTTTCTTTTTTTCACATTTTGGTTGCAAGGCTTTAGGAATTAACAAGCCACAAGGATAGTTAAAATGTAGGCTATACTTGGAGAACTCTGTAACAATTTACTTAAAGAAAAGCTTTTAGCATGCTTTGTGACTGTAGTATACTTTTCATCTTTGGGTTGCAACTCGTAAGAGGTCAAGCCACAATACTACTTTGAATTTAGGTTGTACTTGTGGTTCCTTAGGTCTGCTCGTGAATGTTGAAGGAAGAGGCAACTGCAGTTACATTGACTTCTTTCACATTGAGCATTTGGTGGCTTTGAACTGTTAGACTTGAATGTTACATTTAGTTAATCCTCTGTCCTTCCTTCTGATTTCTTAACTTTCTCTGATTTCTTAACTTTCTCTTATCCAAGTTCAAGCTGTATGAGCTGCCTTGACGTTTTCTTTGTTTCTTCTTTAGTGTCTGATGCTGAGCTAATATGTGATGTCGTACTAGTTTGTTACATTATTAATAGTTACTAGTCCACAGGAGGATAAGTAGTCATAGAAGTTTGATCAGTTCCCCTGTACTTTTCTAACATAATAGCTGAAAGAGGGTTTTGTAGGGGTGTTTTCCCTTTTCCTTTCACCTAGCCTTTCCTTTTCCTTCCTTTCTTTTTTTTGTCATTGCCTCACTATACCCTTGGAAGTAGGTAATCTTGCTACCTCCCTCCCTTTTACAAATTCAATAACTGACACTCTGAGATTTAGCTTAAAATTACATGTTTGTTTGGGGCACTGGGGCTTGACCTTGGCCCTATGCTCAGTAGGCAAGTTCTCTACCACTTGAGCTATGCCTCCAGCCCTAAAAATCTATTGAGCTTCTTCTGTCTGCCAATTCTACACCTAAGGGGTATGAACTTTGGAGGATTACCCACTCCTTCCTCATCATTGAGAAAACAGAGGCAGAAGGGGACTAGCATAAATTGTAAAATAGGACAGTTGTAAAATACCAAAAAAGAACAAGAAGGGTTTTTAAACCTGCCAGGAGTTTTAAAGTATTTATGTGTTAGTGTAAGATTTAAGTATATGTGTATATGGTTTATATGTTGTAGTCACTGAGAATTCTGATTGGAAGATTTTGGTTCTTGTGCTCTGGTGAGGAAGAATACAAGCAGAACATGTGGATTTAGTAAAAGAAATAACGGAATTTTAGTATAGGAAAGGGGGAAGGGGATTAAAGGTGTGGTCTCCATCAGGTGGAATGGAGGTGCCGCATGCAGGAAAAAAGAGAAAACCTGCATCATTCCATCTCCAAGGGCCTTCAGGCAGGGAGGAGGATGTGGACAGACCCTCACATACCTTATGCTAATTTTCACGTATCCAAGTCCATGGAGGAAATTTCTACTCCTTCTGTCTTAACAAAGGATTTGTCATTGCAAAGGAGTTCTCTGGGCTCAAAGGGAGTGGGTGAGGGAGGGAGTCTAACCTGAGGTGCTCTAAGTCAGGCTATACAGATCTTAAAAGTCCCAAACTTTCTCTAATTTCTAGCCTGCCTCACTTATTTTTTAAAACATTGTTGAAAGAATGGACTGTAGATAGGGGGACCAAAATGGAATTGGGGGAGCCAGTTAGCTAGTGCAGAAATCTGGTGGAGATTGCTCATATGAAGGCAGTGGAAGATGGTAAATTTTAAAAAAAAAAAAAAAAGAGGGGGAGGGTCTGGCAGAGTAGCTCAAGTGGTAGAGCACCTGCCTAATAGACACAAGACTCTGAGTTCAAACCCCAGTATTGCCGATTCCAGGCATATTTCGGATATAGAGCAACAGGCCTTGCTTTTCTCTTCATATACTTGTTCTGTTCCTCAGATTCTCTTCCCTCCTTCTAAAACTCCTGTTACAGACTTCTTCATGCTTGTTGTTCTTCTGCTCTCTGAGAGTTTGTGCTTTTTCTCTGATTATCTTTTTCTGTGCTCTGGTTCTTATATTTAAGATTCTCTGCTATCTGACTTGTTTTCACCAGGTTATCCCTTGTGTATTTAAAAACAGGCACCCTCATTTTGACAACACCACTGTTGTCACCCTGAGATAAGTTGGAGAACAGCACAGAAAGAACACCACAGACTCTCATAACCAATGACTTACACATCACTCTGTTTCCACACCCACGGAGTCATCTCCCAGTTTTCTGATGATTTTGTGTGGGAGGCAGGGTTTGCCACCATTCTCACCCAGGTGTTTCAACCTTCCTGTGAAGATCCTAGCACATATTTTCTTCTAGAATTGCTACAGCTTTAATTTTTTCTTTTAGATCTGTGAACTGTTTTGCACTTTTGTTTGTTTTTGACTGATGATGACTTTTGCCATTTTCATTGAATATGGTTGTTCTGGCATCATTTACAGTTATGTCCATCCTTCCCAGTTGCCTCCTGTGTCGAAATCATTGTGCCCTGTGTTTTTCTGTGTTCTTTTCTTCCTGTAAGTTGTTAATTCTTCCCATATAATCTCATCACATTGTCTTTCTACTTTTGCTTCATGGAAAGCCCTAATCTGACGAACTCAGATTTGGTTTTGGCATTTCCGTACAAATACCTTGTCAATTTCTATTTTAGAACAAAAGTTCTATTGGGGATTCGATTGACATTACAGTGCATTTATAGCAGTCTTGGTCCATGATCTTGGGATCTCTCCATGTTAGTTGGTTCTTCTGTAATTTCTCTCAGTAGGGTTTTGTAAAGTTTTTTTGTGGGGGAGGTAGGGAAATGAGGACAGAGCTCACCATGTAGCCTAGATTGGCCTTGAATTCAGATCCTTCTGCTATAGCCTCCTGAGCACCAGGATTACAGGTGTGTTCCTTTGCACCTGGCTTGAGTTTTGTAGTTTTCTAGGTTTCATATATAATTTTCTTAAAATTGTTCTTAAACATATAATGTTTTATAAGTTTTAAATGCTGTTGTGAATGGTATTTAATTTTTTTTGTTTTCCAATATTTTATTGTCACTATTGAACTTAATAGTCTCCAAGCTTGCTCCGTTCACATATTAAGTATAGTAACTTTTATGTAGAGTCCTTAGAATTTTTCACCTCCTTAATCATACTATCTATGAATGAGAAAATATTGAAACTGGGCATGGTGGTACACTCCTGTTATCCCAGCACCCAGGAGGTAAAGGCAAGAGGTTTGAGAGTTCAAGGCCAGCCTGGACTAACATAGTGAGATACTGTCCCAAACGAAAAGAAGAGAAAAAAAAAGAAAGGAGGGAAGGAAGAAGCTTCTCATCCCCAGAAATATCATAGAAATTTTCAATTTCTATGTCTATTTATTTCTTTTTACACTTGTAGCACCTCCAGTGCAGGTGAACAGAAATGGGGAGATGGATTCTCCTTATACTCATTCATTCCCTTTGTACAATGTGTCAGCATAGCATTTTGGTGGGTGCTCATTGTCAGGTTGAACGTGTGCCCTTTATTTTCTGAGTTTCTTGTTGGTATTTTGCCTTAATTGTCACTACATGTCAGCGTCGTGGTGGGGGATGGTTCAGGGAGGGAACACTTGGGTTCAATATCCAGCACACACAAGGACAGGTTGGGTTTTATCAAGTGATTCCCCATGTTTAGGAATAGCACATATTTCTGTATGATCACATTCCTAGTCTTTTCCATTCAGGTGTCTAATCTGCTATGAATCCTATTCAGTAAATTCTGTAATACCTGTTTTAAAGTCCTTGTTTTCTAATTATATTGTCATTTCTGGGCTGTTAGATTTACTGATCTTTGTTGTCAAACTCATTGTGCAGTGACCTAAATCCTATACCTATCTATATTTTCTATTGCTGCTGTAACAGATTACCATAAATTTCATGGCTCACAGCAGTACAGATTTATTTTTCAGGGGTCCTATATGTCCGCTGTCTGACTTGGGTCTCACTGGGATACCTCAGTTATTGGCAGTGTTGTGTTCCGTTTAGAGACCCTGGGGGAGACTCCTCCTTTTTTTTTTCTTTCCTTCCGTAGCTTCTGGTAGCTGAGTCTTTCTTACCATGCATCACCATGACACTTTGTATCGTCTCCCTCAGCATCTTATCAGGACACTAGAGTTTACATTGGGTTTGACCAGATAATCTAGGATAATCTCCCCATCTCAAGATCCTTAATTCTATCACATCTGGGAAGCCTTGTGTCATGAAAGGGAATAGATTTGCAGGTTCTAGGAATTCAGAGGATTAGAACATATACATTTTGAGAGACCATTTTTCTGTCATACTGTCTTAGTGAATTGTACTCACTTGTCCAACCTAAAATACTAAAAGTGAGTCTCCCCTTTTCCAACCTACTTTACAGCTAGTCAACTACCAAGTCCTGTCAATTCTGCTTGGTTACTCTTCATTCATCTCTGTGGCTGCTGCATTAATCCAGATCATCAAACTTACTTGAGATAGTGCTGCTGTTCTTCCGCAGCTAGTTTCTTCACATTCACTCCGTTCTCCACACTACCATCACAGTCATCTTTATAAAATTCTGTTTGTTCTAGATCCTTGTTTAGTGCCTTTCATTGGCTTCCATTGCTCTCCCTTACAGCACAGAAGACCCTTCATACTTGGGCTTTATCTCACCTTTCTTTACTCCCTCCACAAACTATCAGTAAGTGATGTGTATTGAACAGCACTGTCCACTAGAACTTTGCTCAGTACGACAG